GGCTTCTTTTTCGCAGGATTTTGACCGTTTCACTCCGTTCTTTCGCCATTTCCCCACTATATAGCGCCCTACTAGCATTTTAGGCCGAGCACCAAATCATCGTGCCAACTGCCTTTATGATGCAAGGCAAGACGGCATTCTTCGGCCTAAAAGGGGGAGCATTTTGAACATATTTTCCTTTCGCTGGTTCTTGTTAACTGACAGGTTTCTCCTTTTCAAAGAGCCCTGGGAGCTTTTGTGAAGCTGCGAAATACGTGAGCCACTTTGATCACAAGAACTTACAGGTGTTAACAAGCTGTTCTGTGCAATTCCGCTGAGTACCTTTTAGTGTCTCCACCAAGCCGATCTGCGTCAGATAAGATCCCCATTATGTTTCGCCAGATGCCTGACCCTGGTTTCACAGCTCTACAGTTTATATGACCCTCTTTCTTCAAGCTCACTCTTTTAGACTGATCAAGGTGGACTACAGTTTTGAGACAGAATCAGTTCTGTACGATGTGGTGGAGAACAAAGCAAAAGCACCTTCAACGTATGTGGCCGGAAATTTCTCGTTCGAATCACTTCATCATGATCTCGAGGGTGGCATGCTGGGAAGATACAGGGTGAGTTGTAATTGAAAATCTTACCAGAGAGCATATCTGACAATTGTTCCCGCGTTTCTTTCATTATTTGGGACTTGGGGTGGACCACAGAATGCTTAACGGAAGGGCACCTCAAGCACTGGCATCGCTATGGTTCTAGAAGATATTCTCTGCTAGAGTCCTCTCCAATCCAAGCAAAGCGTAACTTTAGGCTCAGGGAGTGAAAGGCTAAGCCATACACAGCCTAGGTCTGGGAGTCATACTTTGAGTTAAAGACACGCCCAGCGCTCAAAAATGGCGAGTTGTGCTGCTCGAGTGCTAATAACATGTTGACAAATAGCACAAAAGTGAGGAAAAAAAGCCAGAAGAACTCTACTGAATTGTCTCATATGGAAGCGGAAACCACGTTCGTAGGTGCATAAAGCGAAGAAAGAGCGTGGTCGGACGAATTCTCACTTGTTGGTATCAGGTCTTGTCCCTTATCACTCACTGTCGCTATTGTGAAACAGAGAAATCTAGAAGGGAGGCAATGCGAACTACGGAAACTTCAAAATAAAAGCTGGGCAGTTGTGCGTGGCTCGTGGACGGGGCAGTGGTTCGTTCCAAGCTGGTCTTTCGCTTCCTTCTGCGCTGTTTTCGAGCTGCCGAGAAGCAGATTCTGAACACCCTTCTGACTTCCGGGCAGGACTACCATGCTCAGAGGAGGCGTCTTAACATCAAATGAATGAGTAACGTGCCTCTTAATTATCGCTTTTCAGTTGACAATTTGTAAGACCAACAACTGTGGTAATGTTCCGGACGTCTATGTATCGTTCGTTCAAGGCGGTAACAACATACAAGAAGTTCTTTATGATGCCACGTTAGTGTTTTTTTTCCAATTTCGGGATTTCAGTTGACACGCACGATGTATTTTTCTCAGACTAATTTAGTTTAAATTTCTCTGGATGACCTAAACTGCTGTGTTTCAGACAATTCCCTGATGAAAAACCCAGATGGAATTTCATCTATGCCATGATCAACACCATTTACACTCCGGCAGAAAATGGTGAAGGTGATAACCAGTACGTGGTGAGTTGACGAGTTTGCTACCAACAAGTAATCAGAAGGCTACCAGAAATTGATTTCAAAAAAGCAGGTGGAGAGCTTCTTCAAGAAGTTTTTGGCTTTTTCGGGCAAATTTTCAGTAATACCGTCCGCACTGAACGTGGAACTGCGAAATAGCCTATCAGTAGTTTTTCTCTTTGCCACACACCTCTTCACCGTAGTGGCGTGAAGTTGGAAAGGCGCGCCAATGGGGAAGGCACCCTGGTGGGGTTGACCCCGCCCATACGACCAGCGTGGATTGTGCCTTGTAGCACTCAAGCACAAATAAATAAAGGGCGCACTTATCATTTTGTTAAGGATACTGTGTACGGCAAATGCGAAGTGCAGTTCGGCAGACCGGAAGACAAGCGATTTCGAAGAAAAATCAACGGCTGCGAGATCAAATCTGATGTGTAGGTTTAGGAATTGAATTGGTCTGAAAGGTTACTTCTTATATGAAAAAATACTGGATTCCATTCAATTTTTGAGTCCTTATAAGCTACAAACTGTGCCTTCATCGTGTTCCTTTCTTCTGCTGCGATAAGAGAAAAACGTGATTGTTTCAGGAATTTCACTCGCATAGATGGGCTCCAGCCTGTGTTTTATGAGCAAGACGTCTCTTATTTGTGAGTTTTTGAAGTCTTTCAAATCGCCACACATTGGTCCATCAGTGATTTTCATTTGTAGGATTCTGCACAACAACAAAAAAGAGACCCGCAAAATTTTTTTTGTTTTGAAAGCCTAAAAAGCCAGAAAAATGGTCGTTGTTATACTTGCTGTTGATGTCTCTGAATTGTTAATTTCCCTCAATTTCTTGGAATGCATCTATTCGCATCGTAATTTTTGGAAGTCTTGAGATTTTTCGTCACTTCCATAAGTGGTAATTCGAAAGCTTATCAGAGCAGAACAGCGTTTTCAGAGGGAAACTATAGTTCCCTCCCCGAGGACGGTCCTCTCCATGTGCGAGGTGAATAGATCCGCGGCTGCGGCTATATCGTGCTACTTTTTCAGCTCAAAATAGCACAGGCACGGGGCTGAAGGGTAGCGATATGAGAATGCTGTCTCCATACTCACCCCTGCTCTTGTTCGCGATCGCTTGGACTGCGCGTTTGCAGGTTTCGCGAACTATGAACTCCACATAAGGCTATTCGACAATGAATAACACCTATGTTGATCTCGTAGCGCTGTAACGCTACAAGAGCCGTCAAGCTAACAAGGAAAGGATGGTTGGTCGAAGTGGCCATTTAAGACAAGATGCATACACACTGATGCGTCTTCGGACGCTGATTTCAAATCTGCTTTCCATATCTGCTAAACGATTCTCTGAGCAGAGATATGCAGGAGGTTGTTGTACGGAGCACAATTGAGCTTGGTACACAAATGAGACGTGAGGCGTCACACGGCGGATAGTATGCCGCGCTCAGTATGCGAGGCGAGAGGTTCGAATCCCTCCATGATTCGTCGTTTTGCATTTTCTCAAAAATGCCTCCTGCACATCCGGAAAGCACTTCTGCGAGGCTAGGAGACCTGATTCTACCAAAAAATTTTATTTCTGATGTGATAGAGCCATTCTGGAACACTCCTAGTGGGAACTCCTGATTGTTGGTTTCGGCGGCATTATTCGTTCCGTCGTGTTGTGAGGCCAAACTGATTCCAGATGGCATGGAAGCCAAAAGTGGATGTCGTGGTTGTTATCAGGACCGTCAGTAACCAACAAGGACTAAGATTTAGCGAGGAACCTCCACTGCTCACAGAGATTTGAATCGGCGATAGTGCCAGCAACCTTTAGGAATTGGCTGCCTATGGTTACCCCACTGTATCGAAAATAGGTCGAAATCTCAAATTTGGTTGAAAACTTGTCTCTAGGGCTAATTTGAGCCCCAGAGCACGAATATCACACTCGTTCGGCGTAAAAACGCTTGCCAAGGACGTTGCAGGTTCCTGCACACCCTGCCCCTCCAGAATGCGTACAAGACGTTTTCACGAAATATAACTGCAGTGTTGATTTCCAGGGCACTGAAGCACCTCTAATTTCAGATTCCAGCCAATTTGGGCAATTTGGAGCACCTCATATACATGCTGGAAATGGGTGTGACCTGGTCAAAAATCCTGCATAACTTTGTCCAGGAAATCGTTTAGCAGATATGGAGGGCAGATTTGTAATCAGCGTCCAAGGGCCCATCGGGCAGTATACGTCTCATTTCGAATGGCCACTTCGACCAACCATCCTTTCCTTGTAAGAGGGTGTAGCATAACAGGTAACGCGTTCGCGCGAGAGGCGTGAGGCGCGGGTAAAGGTACTGCGCGAATATTGCCCACTGTTCAGCATTCTTATGATTATTTTGTTAATTGTCACTTGGGAAATTCAATATAATCAATTGGATTTCAGGCAGAATACGAAAATCGACGCCGATATCGTGGTTATCGATGCTGTTGAACTGCTCCGATTCAATACACCTTTGCATAATAAATGGGGATTCACTCTTGAGAGCAGGTAGAATTAGTTTCTGGAATTCGAGGCAAAATACACATTCCGCAATAAGCCGTGGGCGGAGACTCACAAATACTGTGCACTACTTGTAGGCAAAACTCTTATAATGCTGTGCTAAGGAGCTGATTTGAATTCAAGAATGTTCATGAGTCTTCGCCCATCTCTTCATTGATCATCGCAGACTGTGCGCATGGCTTCCGAGGTTTTTCATCTTTTTAAGGGACCCATGTCGAAATCACCAATCGGACCATGAATTATGTTCCTCGACACTGTAACTCGGATACAAAAACAGCAGCGGAGTGTGCCAAGGATAAATTTGGAGCCGTGCCGGTTGGAAAGAACTCTACGAACAAGTAGTACTCGGGCGGAAGGAGAAAAAGAATGAGGTGAATTTTGTCTTGGCCTTCAATTTTTGAGCAGTGAAGGTAAGAGCAGATAAGAAGGATTCATACAGCGATATATCCGTGGGTTTTAGAGCGAAGCCTGAGCAAGCGAGGAGCCTCTCAGAGGATGCTTTGCTACTCACTGAGATTTGCAACGTACAGTCTTGTTTTTCGATGCGCAGAGGTGACTTGGCGGCGTGTGACCGGAGGTAAGGGAGAGGTGGGGATTTGGCTGCGGCAGCCAGTGTGTTTTCTGACCAGTTGTTTGAAGCATCACGAGGAGTGGGATCTAGCGTCCAACCGACAATTCACCTCCTTCCCTTGACGGGCCCCACGCCTTGTGCAGACGCGACGGAGTGTTTATAGCAGTGGTACTCGTGCCCCTGGCTTTCGCAGCGAAGCGGAATTGTACTGGCACCCGGTATAAGCTCTGAATACAATGTCCTTCGGGGGGCATTATCAGACTGACTGCTGAAGGCCTAGGTCCATTGCAAGGCTCTTAGGAGGGAAGTACTGCTAAACGCTGTGACGATATGGCAACTGAGGCCATTCATTAGCTTAGTATCGTTGCATGCGGCGAAGCCAGGTCTTTTCTAATGGTTTGTTCCTTTCATCGGGGTAATACGGTGAAATGAGAGGGCGCATCTAGAAAGCAGAATGGCTAGGCGAGGCAACCGAGGTGCTGGAGAGTGGCACGACCGCCAGCCCAGTGCAAGAAATATGGCTTTTACTCTTCAAAGTGGACGTCAATTGTCCGATGCCTTTTCGGTTCCGAAAAATGCCATATTGCTGGAGGTTTGCCTCGACTTCGGTGTTGCGAAGTATCGTAAGTAATTTGTTCGGAATGGGCGAATTCACACACATGCTGCAAAAGCACTCACAAATAGTTCGCGGAGATTGTACAGGAAGGAAGGCAAGCCAGTGAGCAGGGACTGGAAACAAGTATTGATGCACCCAGAGAATGAGCCTGTACTGTGAGTGCTGATTTATTGAAATATGAGCTGTTCGTATGTTTGTAGCTGCAAGACCTGCTTTTCATCCCACAGATTTTTTTTGAGCTTTATAAATGACACCTGAAAACATCTGTGTACCTGGAATCGATGGGTAAATTTGATACGTGCTTCGTGCTTCTCGCAGTTATCGCAGAGCTTTAGCATTAAGGAAAATTCCCGCATTTCGAACTCGCTTGAAGTTACAGTCTTCGGCTGACTCGTCTTTGGGCAGACATTCATCACGGCTCGTTCACTGGCCACGTCTTCACCGCTATGGCAATAGAGGCGAAAAGAATACACAATGTCCATGATAGCCACGCCCAACAACAGCGTGGAATGGTGCGTTTTCAAACTGCAGAGAGAAACGCGCTGTTCTCCTTGTGAGTTCTTTTTCTACACCGCATTTCGCTCATTTCTAGCTTTTCACATCTTATTTAGTACTAGACCAAATATGACTTCCAACTTTCTTCTTTAATTTCACTTCTTTTACTGGAACTCCATAACTTGAGAAGTCATGCTGTTCCATGGGATATATTTTCGATCCCTTGTGATTTTCATGTAATTTTTAGACTTTTATTTTCCGTTTTACCTTGTTCCGTTACTGCTCTAGGATGAAGGAGGTGTATTGCAGCCATGTGCTTGGAAATGTACTGGGAGCACTCGGTAATTCACAGTCGTTGAAGATTGCTCGTGAAGTACTGCTCGTTGAAGGACCCGAATTCCTGGACGATTATCTACTTGGAGCTGCACACACCACAAGTAATGACGAGAAATGGCACAAACAGCTAATGGTGAGACGGGGGATTTGTTGCCATAGATTTTTCATCATAGATAGTCAGGTTTAGTACTGGATGGCTGATATGAAAAAGGACGAAGCGACATACTGGAAGATAGCCAATACCGTTGCTACAGTACTCCAAAAAAGATGTGACAGAACGCCAAGCACTCGTAATTCGTGCCAACGTGGGAAAGAAAAGGTTTGTTCTATGCCTCCCTTTACCCTCATTGCCTTCACTAGGACTTCAGAGCAGTATTTTTGTATAACTAGATTATACTATTATTGGCTTATGAATCCACTTTACGGGCTGACATCCGAATGCGATCGATTTCCAGGTTGGGGGAAGGAGGCTCTTGTGACGCGTAGAACTTACATAATTCTGCGTGGAAAACGCCCTGATTCGTAGAAAATAAGCAACTTAGAGGGCTCCTCTTCTTCTCATGGGATAGCAACACCTAGGATGACAAGAGGAAGGATACACCAACGAGAAAGCTGCAAAGGTCCAAGCAACGCCCCCCCCCCTCTCCCCTCCCCCCAATATCAGCGTGAGCTGCGACTTCGAACAACCATTAATTTTGTGAAATGCAGATAGTGGCGAAATTCATTGGTGATATCAGCGCTTGCAAAACGGAAGAATGCCATCTGAAATCGCTGGAAATTCTCCAAAACATCCCCATATCACAGTAAGTTTATTTTGAATGTATTGTTCCTTTAGCAATACGCTGAATACCTGTCCTTTGTTATAGATCATTTGAACATGCCCGAGGATTCCTATGTTCCTCTTCTCACAGCGCCCCTGTACAGATTGCTGCATTGCAACTGATCAAAGCCGCCAGTCCGACATTGTATGACTCCAAGGTGGGTGCATACTGGACCAGAAATAAACCAGGCGGAACCGATTACCCTAGGTGTCATGCGTTCGACTTCTATTTGCTAGACATATTTGATTCCTGCATGAGGTGCAAAAACACTGTCTACAAGGGAACACTTTAATGAAACTAATAGTGCGTTCATACTTTGCGTCAGCGCTGCGAACGTACGCCAGCTTTTTGAGCTTTCTGAGCGGCAAGAAAGTATAGGTATAGATCAGTTTTCTGAGCCCATGCCGTTGGCATACGTGGCAAACTTCAGAACGCTGCAGCAATACCTAGACTTCCCTAGTCCCTGAAATCGCTGATGTACGCTGCCGTAGGCTGGCGTACGCTCAAAACGCTTGGTCGACACCTAGTTCCTAGTCGCCGCTCAAAACGCTGCTGTACGCACGCAAAGTATGAACGCACTCCTAGAGTTTTGCGTAAATTTCGTATTCACAATTCGACAGATCAAAATCTTTTTTAGTTATCTGGAAAATGTACCTTACCAAGAGTGTTGAAGGGTGATAGCAGAAATATCTGCCATATAAAAAAACTCCAACCTTCTGTGTAGTTTCATGCGCCATTAAATGGCGTAGTTCGGGCTTGGTGGGGGCATTTTGCTGATTACCATTGATCACTATGGAGATCTATAACCTCCTGTAGAGAAACACTACATTAGGAGCTTCATTTACTCTTGACAGAGTGTGTTCAGGTTTCACCAAGGTACACTCCTTATCCCTGAGCCAGAGTGGGCGTGGCATTTGAACATGGCACGAAATGGGTACTCGTGGAATATTTCAGTCTGGGACAACTGTCATCTTGTTCTGTGTTGCTGTCAAGATGAAAATATCTCACCAGAAGCATAGACACCTTCAGGTTAAGTTGAAACATGCGGCCACGCCCACCCGATCTCAGGGATCTAGAGTATAAAAGGTGTAATTCAATCGGAACTAGCAGAAGAAACTAGCGAAATCGCAAAAGGCACCCTCTTCCGAAACAGCGCCAGCAATCAAAGAAATCCTCTTTCAGCTGGCCAACGTACTCATCAGACTATTCCGTGATGTTTGTCCTCAGCCAACGAGCACTGGCGAGTCACAATTAGCTATTGATATTCTTGTGAAGTAAGTTTTGAGTGGTTACTTCGATTGATCCGGTGCTTTCGAATTTCGAATCGTCAATCATTCCACATTTTGAAGATGTATACCTGAGCAGCAGCACGTCGCTACAATGCTTCTACGAACGGAAACCCTGAATCCGGAAAATCCTGAGAAGTGGCAATATTTCTACAAAGCTGTCTCATTTAGATCAGTCGCGGCTAAGAGCGAGTTGGTAAGTTCAGAACTCTTCCACCATATTATCATACCTATTTATCCATGTTTAGTTGCTATGTTCGATCTTCTATTTTTCGAATTTTGTTGTTCAATTCTCACCTTTCTTGTAAAGCTTTATCATTTGGTTCTTTTTTTTGCTGAGTTATTATTACTTATCTGAGCATATTTCACTAGTTGACATCGTTTCTGACGCCCACCATGACGTCTTACCCTGCCCCCTTGGAACCATCCTCACTGTTCCAAACCGCTGTTTCTGTGACCTGCGCTATAGACTTGGCGGCACTCACCTTCTCATGCCCTTCATCAGCTCTTATCAGCCGTAATCACTTCCGGTCTACTAGTTCGCACAAGTTCTCATCCCACTGTTCCCAAACTCAGCGGACTGTGCATAGCAGGATACCTTCTCCAGTTTGGTTTGGAGAAATGCACAGCCACAAATCAAATTCGTTCCAAGGAGTTGCGCTAAGCGCAGGACCACCTAGCAACACACACAATCGCAGTTGGATTGTGTGCACTGCGGCATCGTGATGTGGTTGAAAAGGCGTTTTCAGTATGATAACCCCTCCCGCCGCCCCCCCCCATTCCCCCTTCGTTGTGATTCTCCTCTCTCAACCTACCCACTATCTGTCCCCGATTTCGCACCAGAGGCGACATTTGGGGTAGTAGACACCTTCCATCAACCATCAGCACAGTCTTGTATGCTGCGTTTCAGGGTCGCGTTTCGGCTTTTTTAGTTCTCCACCAATTGTTTGAGAGGGAAGGAGACTACAAGTGGTGGAAAACGGATTGGCGCCGCGCCAAGCCGAGCCTCCTGACACGCCGAGCAGCCGCGGAGAATAAGACTGCAGTCCTTCCGCGCCGCCGGGGATGTAGACTACGGCGTGAAAAGGGGGCAACAATCGGAAAACTTTCCTCAGGGCGCCGCTATACGACCCCATTCTTGTTTTGTTTCGCAACGTTGCTGTTTCGCTGTTAACGCTGCATCTGTATCCCTTGCTCGTTGAAATGTAGCAGTGGTTGATGTGAGAAGACGGTACAATAGAAGATGGGATTAACTCGTTCAAATCCCAATATTACTTTCATCTTGAAGAAATGGTAGAGTAGAAA